GTATTTTTCTGGATTTTTGTTTTAGATTCCATCACTCACAGTTGAAGAGTACCTATGATAAAAATTACAGTCATCTACAAGCTTTGCAAGTGCGAAAACCTGAAAAATCAACAGTGTATCAAATACTGGTTCTCCCCACTGTATGCTGTGTTTTTGGGAAATTGTAGTCGGTGAGTTTACTATTTTATACTACTTCTGTGATATTACTACTACTTCTACTTCCTGTTGTCTTCTTTGTCGTCGTCTTTTTCACCAGTAGAAACAGCCGGTTGTGATCACGTGACTCCCGTGATGCGAAAAAAGTGTTTCCATTGCAGTTTTGCGAAAAACACCAATTTCGATACGGCGGAAAAACTACCTCATCCTAGCGCAAAAACATCTTGTCAAAAAATGTAATTTTTTTCAAATTTGACGTGTTTCCATTGAGCAAATTTATTTTCAAAATTCTAATTTGCACAGTTTCATGGTCAATGGAAACACAGCTACTGTTGCGTGACTCGTGTTCTAAAAATAGTTGAGTGAACGTCCCCATTGCAATTACTGATACAATATTTTTAAAAATAATACAGAAAAAACTCTACCATTAACTGGTACTTTAAATAGAAAGAAGCAACCAACCCAAAAGGTTTAATTGTCTTTTAGTCATAATTTTACAAAGTGACATATTTGTCTATTATCCCCACTGGTTTGAATAATTAAACAAAGTCCACTTTTCTTGGCAGTTTCATGCTTTAGTTGTAATTAATGAATTACAGATGGTGTGGGAGATGAAGGGAGGGGGTGAGGGAGGAAAGGGCGAGGGTGTCAGACCACATGAAATCCCCAGTGCTGCTCGCCTGCTAATTGTGCACGAAGGTGGTCTCTTACCTTCGCTGCACCGATTTGCTCCTTGCGAAATTTCTCCAAGGGAGCAATCAAGACATCATCTGCATTCTGAATCTGAAACAGAAATTAAGGAACAGCAGAGAAAGACAGATGTCAGCTTGACAGGGAGACGTGATAGGAGTCATTGTAACCCTGTGGATGACTCAAAGTAACTATTAGGAGGAAAAATATCACAAAACGCAATCTGGCAGTCATTCAGTTTTATTATGAGTGTGCCGCGCAGGAAATTATGACTGAGAACCGCCCAGTTCAAGTCAAACTGAGAGATGCATTGGGAGGATAAAGCAATCACATTCATTAGTCTCTCTTAAAGCAGTGACAATGAACAATGCGTTACTGTGAGGGACCAACATGAGTGCAGCAGAGATAAGAGATGGAACACTCAACAATAGTCTTGCTCGGCAGAAGAAAATGGAGCCTTTTTATGTGAGCTGTGAAGCACCAGGAGTGTCAAACCTCGCTGAAATATGACACGGCTCTGCAGACGAGGCAGCTTTACAAGTGCAGCCTGTGATGCATTTTAATTTCCGAGGTAGTGTTATACCTCCACATGTTGGTGACCTCTGGAGTGTCACGACTGGAGTTAAAAGGTCTCTCCGGTAGCCTCTTTTCTTTTTTATTCCCCACAAAAACTGATAGGGTGAGATATATTGTGCCAATTACGGTTCACGCTCAATCCTTGCGGGTGAGCGGTTCAAAAAGGTGCCATTAAGGTGCTTCTGAATTTCCTGTGGATGGGCTTTCATCCAGAGGATCAGATGACATCAGACTGGGGGAGCGGCTCGACGGGAGGCTCTGTCACAAATGACATGGCTCTTAGGTTGATTTAAGGTGTGATTCTGTGTGGTGAGTATGTGATAAACTATGGGCCAAGCTCTAATACATCTATGATACCAGCACTAATTTAATGCTGTCAGCTCAGATGGGCTATCGGCTCCCGAGCCATAGACTTTTGAACACAACCATTTTCAAGATAGAGTTTTGTTTTGAACCATTAATCTAAATGCACATCGCTGCTCAAAAATAAGCCTGACAGCCCTATCACAGGCAAAATGAGCAACTTCTAAATGAAGTTAAAATCTCTATGAACCAAAATTGTTCTGGCTCTTCTTCTATATGCTGCAATAGAGAGATGCATTGAGCTTTTAGTATACTGTGTGATAACAATACTTAAAGGCACAGTGTGTAGAATTTGTCAATTCTTTTAGCCGAAATTGAGATCATCACTAATGACAATAATAAAAAACATGTCTAATCATTGCAAACAAAGACCTTATTTTATTATTTTTACCTTATAAAAAGCTGTTTATATCTCCATGGTCACGGGTCGCCATTACAGGCAGCCACCATCTTGCACCGCCATCTTGTCTACGAAGGCTCATGAAGGACAAACTGTGGC